GGGGGGGCCGAGGGGGTGGTGGGTGGGGGCTGGTTGCCACCAAAAAGGAGGTCACAGCATCCCCCTGATGGGTCGGGACTCGGCTGAAGGGCTGCGCTGGGAGCAGAGGTGACCCCGGCGGGTGGGAGCTGCTGCCTGCAGATGGGTCCCGCGAAGGTGAGCACCCAGTTTTGGGGAGCACGGGGGCGATGGGGTGCTGCATGGGGCCATGGTTAGGACGAGCTGACCCCGCTGAGCGAGCTGTCGAGGGCTGGCACAGCCTCGCTGTGGCGGCAGGGGTGTAGGGAGCTCAAAGCCACCTGGCCTGGGGAAACGGGTGCCACCGGCTGTCACCCACCTGCAGCCCCCCAGGAGTTCCCTGAGGGTATCGGGGTGCAGGAAAACCCCCAGAGCATCTCCCAGCCCTTGTGGGTCCCTTGCAGAGAGCGTCACCTGCAGCTGCCAGCGCCCAGTGCTGGGGACACAGGATGGGGACACGCTTGTCCCTCAGCCCCGCCTGACCTCTCCGCCGCTCGGTCTTTGGAGCCTGCCAGCAAATTCCCGTGGAGCCATTTTTAGCTCTCGCCTGGCCCGAGTGCCAGCCAAGGGCTCCCAGGAGCCCTTTATACTCCTGACAGCTCTGGCCCACTTTGTAAATAAAGAGGGTGCCTGTTCCCTGGCTGCGCCGTCACCCCGTCCCCCCGCTGGCCCCTGCCCCGGGCACGAGCCCCGGCTGCGGTGGGTACGTGCCCGGTGGCCCCTGGGCACCTCTTCTCCCTCCCGCACCCCAGCCCTGCAAGCTGCAGGCTCCACCCGTGGGCCGCAGCGTGGAAACCAGGGAGGGAGAGAAAAATAACAGCGATTACAAAAATAAGGAAAAAAAAAAATTCTTAAAAAAAAATACCCCAACTTGCTCCGGTCAGAGCTCAGCCCAGGGGTGTTTGGGGTAGAGAGGGGCTGTGTGGCCGGCTGTGCATGCACGGTGTCCGGGTGTGTGTGCACGGTGTCTGGGTGTGCATATACAGCATATATACAGCGTCTGGGTGTGCGTGGATGGTGTCTGGGTGTGTGCAGTGTCTGGGTGTGCATATACAGTGTCTGGGTAGGTGTGCATGGTGTCTGGGTGTGCATGCATGGTGTCTGGAGGGGGAGAGTGTAGTGTCCAGGTGTGCATGCACAGTGTCTGGGGGTGTGTGTAGTGTCCAGGTGTGCATGCACAGTGTCTGGGGGTGTGTGTGTAGTGTCCAGGTGTGCATGCACAGTGTCCAGGTGTGCATGCACAGTGTCTGGGGGTGCATATACAGCGTCAGGGTGTGCAAACACAGTGTCAGGTTGTGCATATAGTGTCCAGGTGTTCGTACCCAGTGTCAGGGTGCGCATGCACAGTGTCCAGGTGTGCATCCCCAGTGTCTGGCTGTGCATTCCCAGTGCCCGGGTGTCTGTGCACGGTGTCCAGTTGTGCGCAGAGTCCGTGCACCGCCCTGTGGCAACAGGCAGAAACAGGCAGCAGGGCTGCAGCCCCAGCCTGGCCTCCAGCCCAGCACCACTGGGGGTGCAGGAGGAGCCCTGGCTCCAGCCTGCAGCCGGGGGGCGGGGGGGACGAGCCCTGCAATAGGGGTTTTGCAGCAGACCCACATCCTCAGCCCGTGGGGGGGTGTCCAGAGCAGCATCGGGGTGCCAGTGCTGCTCCCCTGCACCCCAGGGGGCTGCCGGCAGGACGTTGTTTATCCAAGGGAGCATCCCGCCTCCCCGCCCACCCAGCAATCACCTCCCTCCTCTCTTGCCCTTCGTCAGTGCTTTATTTATTCCCCCTCCCTGTGCTGCTCTGCCTGGGCCCGGGGTCCCTGGGGAAGGGGTGCTGGCCCCCAGGGTGGGATGGGCTGTGCTGCAGAGGGGGCTGGAAGCAGAAGTGCCCAACAGAGATGCAGCTCTTCCTTTCTCTCTTTTTTTTTTTTTTTTTTTAAAAAAAAAAAGACTGTAAATATAGATAGAGCTTTATTTTGTTAATAAGACGATGAGTAACTTAACCTGTATATTTCACATACTTGTTTACAATTGTCCCCCTCCCTACCCCTTGGCACAATAAAGGTGACTTTTTGGAGCGGAGATCTGGGTCTGGACTTCACCAGCCTGGGGTGGGGAGAGCTACGGGCTGGGCAGGGCGCCCTCACCCCAAGTACGGATGGGGGGTGCTTTGTTTCCCCCCTTCCAGCACAGCCCCCTCCTCAGGCTCTGGCTCCCTGCCATGGTTTCGCTTGTGCTGTTTCTCGGCATTTGCTCCTGCCCTGTGTGCCCCTTCTCCTCCCACCTCTCATCAGCCTTTCCCCAAGGTCTCACCCCAGGTTTGGGGTTCAACCTCTTCCACCCGGGTGCCCACTGCGGGGGGGGGGGGGGGCACGATGAAGATGAGGGATCAGCTCAGCAGAGACTGTCCTCAGCACCAGGACATCGCCCTGGGACAAGGACGAGCCCCGGCAGTTGCTGCCTGCAGGAAGGGGCAGCGAGGGCACCTGAAGGGAGGTCAGGAGCATGGAGGGACACCAGCAGCCCACCCTGGGAGGAAATACCTCCACCAGCATCTCTGCTCCGGCACACCAGTCCCCACAGACCCACCATCCCCTATTTCCAGCTACCAGCAGCTTTTATTTTGCACCGAAACAAACACCAGATGCAACAACAGTCTTGCTGGGGCAGGTTCCCGTGCCCGTGTGGAGTAGATGGCCACCCTGTCCCCATTACCACTCGCCGAGCAGCCAAGGCAGGGGCAGAGGGGTCTGATTTCACCCCCCAGCTGATGCACAACCACTGTCGTGAGCTGGACAGTGCTCAGCAGGTCAGGATTGCCCTCGCAGAGCCTGGGGCCAGGAGCAGGGGGGGAGCAGCCGAGTGTTGACAGGGGATGAAGCTGTGCACTCATGGAGCGGGTCAGCTCTCTTCAACCTCCTGCCAGGGGGTCCCACGCAGAGACACAGCCAAGAGAGGAGCACAGAGACAGTGCCCGTGCGAGGGGCAGGACGGACCCCCCCGCCCTGGCCCTGGGGGAGACGGGGAAGGCAGAGCTGGGAGCCTCTTGCTCCAGCAGCACAGGGTGCTACGAGGGAAGCCGTGATGGGAGCTAATGGGAGTCTGGGAGATGACAGCCGTGGGGACAAGCAGAGCCAGCCGTGGGCTGAGCACAGCGTCGGGGCGCAGGCACCCAGCACCCGCCAGCAAAAGCCCGCTGGTCCCAGGGCTCATGGCTGGCGCCTCCCCTTGCTGCTTTGCACCATCCGAGTTGGAGCACAGCAGCACCCACCCCCTGTGAAAAAGGGTGCTGTGCTCAGAGACAGTCCCGAGCCCAGGATCAATACTGACCAAAAAAAGGTGCTGGTTTGGGGGTGGGAGCCCAAGTGGCACTGAGGAGGCAGGGCAAGAGGGGACGGAGGGAGCAGCAAAGGCGATGGGCACAGCTAAAGCAACTGGGCAGCTCTGGGGGGGGTCCTGAGCAGACGGGGGGACCCGTTTCCCCCCTCGGGGACGGCACAGAGGGAGCAAACTGGGTGCCAGGCCAAGCAGCAGTAGTGCCAGCAAAGCACAGACCTGCCGGGCACCGGGGCCGAGCCGGGCTCGGCGTTAAGGCGGTGGTAAGGCTTCCTGGCGTAGGCAGGGGCCTCTCCGAGGCCGTGGTCCTCTCCAGCGTCTCACGGTCCAGTCTCAGGTATGTCCAGGGTCTCCTTTAATCGGTGGCCGGGTCAGAGCTCCTCTCCTCCACCATCCCACCATCAGGACCTGCCCTCGCCCCCGGCTGGGGTGGGGAAGGGGCGAGGGGGATGCGAGGGCTGTGGACGCAGCAAGGACAAAAACATCTCAGGGTCTCACAGGCCAGAGATGCTATTTAGAGATCTGCAGGGCTGTGACCACCGGCTTCATCTTGAAGTACTGTTTAAACCTTAGCTTTGCATATCTGCCGAGAGAGGAGAGGGACAGACATGAGACACTCATCCCCCTGGCCCCGCGTGCCCTAGCCACAGAGGATCCCTCCAGCACGGAGGGACCATTGGGATCCTCTTGCTCCAGTCTTTTAACACTGAACTGCACTGGGAGCGAACGCCCCCCAGCCCCAGCAGACTCACCTTAAGAAGTTAAAGTCTATGGTAGAGTATTTATCCTGGATCAGGCCCCAGCACGCCCAGAGGAAATGGGATGCCTGTAACAGACCAAACACGGATCAGAAACGGGGCCCACAGGATGAGCCGCTCGTGCCTCTCCTGGCCGGGTCCCAGAAGTCCCGTGGCTGTGACGACAGGACGCGGGGTGGCAGCCAGCTGGAGCTGGCCTGCACGTGCATTTTTATATGTTCCAGAGGCTGGTCCCAGCCCGGACAAGAGATGAGCAGGAAGGATGCTGAACAGCTGTGCAACACGCTCAGGGTACCAGCCTCTGTGTTGGCAGCCGGGATGTCCCTCCTGGCAGCTCTAGCCAGGAAACCACTGACATTTTGCCCTAAGTTTCCAGAAAATTGGCTCCTCCTGCCCATGCCCATACTAAAGAGGATTTCCTCATTCTTGGCTGTGCCTGGCCTCTCTGAAGGGATGCCCAAGGCCACAGCTATCAGAGACACGCTGTTCCTTGGCATCCTGTGGGATGGCAGGCAGCCAGTGCTATCTTTGACCTTGCCCAGGGGCTCAGTGCCTCCGAGGTGCAGTCGGGCTCTTTGGGGCAGCCTCCTGCCCCAGGTGCCCCCAAACCCCCATGGCTGGTACCTGCACCCCCATCCTCACCCGCCGAGCGGCAGCTGGCTCACCCAAGAGCCAAGGGAAACCAGTCCCACAGGGAGGTCGTGTCCTTCCCATCTCCACCACTCACCAAAGAAAACTTGTTCACTTGCACGTAGAGAGCTTCCAGCTCCTCCTCGGACACCCCCGTGCCTCCTCCGTCCCCCTGGGTGAGCTGCTTGTAGGCCTGCAGGTAGGAGTGCAGCCACTGCAGCTGGGTCTCCTTGCTGGGGTAGAGGCGATAATCCACCTCCTTCACGCCTGCGAGGGGAGCCGGGGTCAGCGATGCCCGGGGTGGGGGGGCAGAAAGGTGAAAGGGAGGGTTTCTCTGGTGCAAAGTGCCGTGACCACAGGGCTCTCCCCACGCACAACTGGGTGAGTGAAGCCCCTGAGGCTCCTGGTGTGCTCGGGGTCACTAACCCTTGGGCTGGTGTTGCAGCCAGGCTGCTCCCCACCGCCCACAGAGACCCTCCCCTCACACAGCCCTCTAAGCCCGAAGAGGAGCTCCCCCATCTCCCACCACGGGACCGGGGATACAACTTCCTCCTCCTCCCCCAAGGATGGGGAGACCCCGGGGCACCCGATGCAAGTAGGGGAGAACCTTTGGTGCCCCGAAGAGGAGCCCAACTCACCTGCAAACTCATTAAAGTGGTTTCCAATGTCGAAAGCCTGGTAGTTGTAGCCGGTGTACTCGTAGTCTATGAAGCGAACGTGCTCTGTGGAGGCAAAGGCCGGGGCTCAGAGAGGGGCTGGAGATGGAGCTGCCGGCCCCTGGGGAGGTGGGCGAGGGACAGACCCCTCCTCCAGGCGTGCGAGGCTGCTGCCACGAACCTTGTGTCCCATCGTAGATGATGTTTTTGCAGAGCAGGTCGTTGTGGCAAAGCACGACGGGGGACCCGAGCTGGGAGAGCGTTTCCTTCATCCAGGCCAGCTCCTCTTCAAGCATCTCCAGGCTGGGCACATCCTGCTGGAGGCTGGGGAAGGGGACGGGGTGGAGTCACTTCTGCTCATGGGGAACCTCCCGTGGGGGCAGAGCGTTGCCCCCTGCTTCCCTCCATGCGTTTGATAAACGAACTCATCAGTGACACAGAGCGGGGCTAACGAGGCCATTTTTGGTGGGGAGGCCAGGAGTAGCTTGGACATCCTCCGGCGTGCTGGGTGGTACCCAGGGTGCCCGCAGACACCTCGGTGCAGCCTCAGCCCTTCCCTTCTCCCCACGAACACCCACATCCATCCCTCAAATTCACCCAACCAGCCACCGAGCCCCGCAGCGCTCGCTCCCAAAGCACCCAGCTAACCCCCAGGCAACGGGAATATTTTGGACTCTGTCAGGGCACGTATCCTCTCCATAACCTCAGAAGTTTCTATTCCAAGAAGCGAGCCAGTTAATGATTACCTAATTGGCTGCACTGAAGGTGCAGGCTTGGGTAAAGTCTGCCTGCAGCGGGGTGAGTGCTGAGAAAAGCCCTGCAGCCTGCCACTGCTGCTCAGGGAACAGGTTAATTATTCGCTTGCCTTTGGGTTCATTCACCTCCACCATCTCTGGGGGCTGTGCACATCCTTCCCAGACACCCCGGCACTCACCCGGCATGAACCCAGGCTCCCAGAAACGGGATGAACTGATTTGAAGTGAGAACTGGCTGCTTTAATCTATACTGCGTTTCCAGCATCCCCTCCAACACCAGCTCAACCTTGCTGCTCAGAACCCCGCCATAAGAAGGGCTTGAGCTTCAGCTTATTCTAGGGAGGGCTTAAAATGCAGGCTAGATTTGCAGGGAGGAGGAGGAGGAGGCGGATTATTAACAGCAGGTGGGAGTCTGGCTCAGGCTGGATCCTACCCGGCTGCTGGAGAGACACAACCCCGAGCTGTCTCTGCTCTCACACAGCAAAGGGCCCCCGCCGACAGGAGGAAGGGTGCGTGGAGATGCCTCCACCCCACCTGCTCTTGGGGGCTTGGCCACACATTTGCTCATGGAGGGATCATGATGCCGAAGCAGCAACGTGGCTGGGTCCAGCCCCAACACCATCCCCAGCCCCTCTCCCCCCCCACAGAGGCTTTACCTGGGAACCGGGGCTCTTCCCCCCCCGGTCCCGTACGGGGAAGACTTAGAGACGGGTGGGCAGCGGATGCCCAAGCCATAGCCTGGCTCTTTGGGATCCCTCTGCCTTTACCTGGGGTTGGATACCTTTGGGCTGAGATCCGTCTTCACGAGGGTGAGGTATTTGTGCAGCTTCTGCCAGAGGATGGGCTTGGGGAGGCTCCCGTTGGCGTGGATGGCGTGTACCCGGGCCATCTCCTGGGCCACCAGCCTGGAAGGAAACACGGACACACGGGTGAGAGGTGGCCGTGCAGCAGCGTCCCCCAGAGGAGTGCTCCACAAAACCAGCCCTGAGGGGGGTTCCCCGAAAGCCGTGTTTAAAAACGCAGGCTCAGCGCAGCTCAGACTCCCCTCACTTCAGCTGCAAGCCTCGGAAGTGTATCAGGACCCTGCCTGGTCAAAAGCAGCGTTCACCTTTCCAGGGCAAATTCAGGTGAAAGCTGTGGTTCTCGTGAAATCTCTACTCACCCAAAGCTGATGCTTTAAAAACACATTGATAAACCCGGCTGTGGGTTGGCCCATTTATCCCCCAGGTTTGTGCACATCAGCACTGGTGAAGGGGGGAGCTGGAAACACAGAGCAAACCCCCCCCCATGCCCAGAGAAGCCCCAGTTCCCCCTTCCTGTGGCTCCCCCCTAGACCCGCACACCCCAGGACATGGGGGTCCTGCACACCTGAAGATGTGGGGGTCCCGCACGTGGTCGGGCCCCAAGGCGATGCCCGGCAGGAACTGGTAGCAGAGCCCGTTGTGGAAGGCGCAGTAAAGGTCAGGGGCGCAGCCGTGGGCACGCAGCACCTGGAAATTCCTCAGCTCCGTCTCCCGGTCCACGAACAGCTCCGTTTTCCTTCCGTAGACACGGACCAGCACCGCGTCCGCCATGTCCTCGTCCGTGTAGCAAGCCACGAGCTTGTTGGTGATGCCATCGGTGAAGAGCTGGAGGGGGAGAAGGGCGACAGAGACGATGCCTGTATGGCCCTGCCACGCCAAAGGGAAATCCCCTCCCACCAGCAGACCCCAGGGAGAAAACAAAGGCAGGAACAGGCAACGGGCAAAAGAGAGCTCGAAGCAGCAGTGCCCACGGCAGCCAGGAAAGCTCCCGCAGCAGATGGCACGAGTTTGCAAGGCCTCGAGGCTCACGCATGCACTGGGGCTCTGCACAGGGCCACAGGCACAAGGCTTCAGCTACACAAAGCTGACGGTTTGGGTGGAAATCCTGCCGGTTTTCACCTGGAAGCTCGGGAATAGCTGTGGCCAGATGTGCCGCCAGCACACTTGGCACCCGAGCGGCTCCAGGAATCACTCCCCTCAAAAAATCAGCGCAAATCTTTTGGCACAAAATGAATTTTAAAAAAAAAAAAAAATCAAACCCAAAAACACACAACCCAGCAAACAACGCGGAGCAAACACCACCACCCCCCCATCTCCTCCTCCTGACCCTCCCCGCGGGGCCGGGTTGCTGATAGGCAGGGACGTCTCTGCTGGGGACGTCTCGTGTCATTGCTCTGATGGCTCCTCACAGATGGAAAGGGAGTTTTGTTCTCCCGTTGCCCCAGCCTGGCCGCCTGCCCGCGCACATGCGGGGGCTGCCGCCCGTGCTGGGCTCCTCTCCCCATCCTGCCGCGATTTTCGGTCCCCTCCGGCGCACCGAGGGGTTTGGGTCCCCACGGCCTCACGGGAAACCCCTGCCCCATCGTCCCCCACGCAGGGAGGATGCTCAGCCCCACACGGTTCCTGCTTGGTGCATACCGGGGTGCCGCTGCTCCCCAGGAAAGTGATTTCCTGCTCCCCCTGGGGTTCGGGCAGCTCCCGGAGCAGGTGTGATGCTGGCGGAGCGGGAGCGGGGCGAGGGCACGTGCTACGGCAGCAGCAGTGCTCGGGGGTGGGACAGCTAATTTTAGACACCCCACTCAGCAACCCACGCTCCTATAGAGGGTGCCTATATATAGGGTTCCCCATGCAGTCTCCCGAGGGAAACTCAAAGCGCTGGAATGAGACACCCCAAGTCAGACAGCTCGTTACACAGCTGGTTGGTGTTGGATTCGCGGCGAGCACGGCAAGCGGCGAGCCAGCCGCCACGGCCCCGGCGGGCTGCAGCTGGGGCGGGCTGAACCTTCTCAAGCAACTGGGTTGCTTTTCCCAAGGCAGATCACCCGTGTCTCCACGATGGTGCCACACTCTGGTCTCCTCTCCTTGTCCTGCCAGGCCCCAGAGGCCAGAAATTCAGCACGGACAAGGTGTCATGGCCCATCCATGCAGAAGAGGGAGCAGCCTGGGGCCGGTGCTCTCCATCAGCCACAGGTGAATGGCTCCACCTCAAGATGCTCGGCACCTCCTCGCCCGCAAAGTCCCTGGCACTGCTTTGTTTTGCTGCTTGACAGCCCAATCAGCCCTTTCCAGTGGGTTTAATGGGATTACCGAGCCTTATCCCCTCTGAATTCCAGGCCACTAACTTTGGAGACTCCCACGTGGTTCGTCCTGCACACACACACGCAGGGGTTCGCCTGGTTTGGAGGTGGCAGCTCCTCCAGCTCCCGAGCGTGGCTGCTTGGGAGACGCCTGGTGCTATTTCCTTGCGGATCCGAAGTGCAGTCAGCTATCAGCAGGGTCGCAGCGCCGCTACCAGCCCAAATCCTTCCCTGCTGTGGCTGTGTGACAGCAGGCAGTGGGGGGGGGGAAACCGAGTGTGACTCCACACCAGGAACCTTGCAGCAATTAAACATGAAGCAAGACCCAAGCCTTGTGCAAAGAGGCTGAAGCGAAGCAGCTCCATCCAACACCCCAGTGATGTCCCCGCCATGAGACCCCGCTCGGCTTGCACCCCCAGCACCACTCCTCAGCCCGAGAGGTGGCCAGTAGCCCCAGGGCCAGACTGCAAAAAGGGCACCTTGTGGCCCAAGTGGGGCTAAAAGCATCCAGCCGTAGCGGAGTCCTTGCAGGGTTTTGCCTTCACATCGCTGCTGCTCTCCTTATCTCCGGGTGAGGGATGGAGGAGTGCATGCTTCCCTGGGAGCGTGGCTGGCTGACTCACCCACGCTGCCTGTGCCTTCCCAGCACGGGGGGTGCCTCGGCCCAGGGACAGAGCTTAAAGGATGAGGAGCAGGAGCCCTGAAAGTGGGCACAACCTGGAGCACAGGGGGCTGAAGACCCCAGTAAGAAGAGGGCAAGACGGGAGAAGGCCAAGCACCCAGATCCTTCCTTCCCATCTTCCACACCCTGCCTCAAGCACCGGGAGATTTTTTTCTGTGTCACCGGCACAGCCTGGTACAGCCCCTGCAAGCAGCTGTGCACTGACACGGTGCAACGAGGTGGTGTGAAGCGGGCACCGCTCCAGTGCGCCGAGGAGAGCGAACAGGAACACTAATAGGAACCAGCTGAGGACCAGTGCACCGCTCCAATCCCCTCCCGAACAGCCCGGCAAGAGCAGCGAAGGGAAACGCAACCAGAGGTTTTTTCTTTCCCCCCCCCCCTCCGCAATTCCAACGGGTTTTTTTTGCCTTTTTTTTTTTTTTTTTTTGTAATTAAAAACACACACACGCACAGACAAGCTGCTGTTGAACACTGACCCCCTCCGATGCCTGGAGAGAGCCTGGATACCGGAGAGCTGGGGTCCTTCTCACACAACCATCGCCACCGAGGTCTGTGCTCGGTGCTGCACAGAGCCCGAGACATTTCCTGCCCCTACAACTTTGTGCTCCGAGGAACTCGAACTCCGAGCTTCCTGCCTATTGCCATCTGCCCTTTCATATGTATTTTCCTGCAGCTCCTTGTATTTAATTACACTTGGCTATTAATACATTTTTAATGACTGTCCAGGCACACGGGAAGCATGTGCCTTCAGAGGACACACATACACACGTGTGTATGTTTGAGTGCACCCAGCTCCGCCACCTCCACACTCCCGTGCCCATTGCCAGGAGCCTGGGGAGGGCACAGATGCCACCCCCGAGACCTGGCACCCCCAGGCAGAGGTGAGGAGGGGGAAAGGGACTCCCATGTTCAGGCAGTTGCCAGCCCCGCTCTCCCAGCCAAGCCCCGTCCCATGCAAGGAGCTCTGAGCCCCGCTAAATCCCATCCGCACCTGGGCTCGGCTCCTGCCTCCTGGCAAAGGTGCGAGCCAAGTAACCCAAGCGAGACCTGCTCCTGGGAGCAGCTACTCCTGCGAGCAGGGGCCTGGCAGCACCGGCTGCAGGCAGGGGTGCGGGCAGGGGGTGCAGCACCTGCAGGAGAGACTCAGGGGGGGACCGGCGGTGCAGCCACCCCAGCACCCCCCCAGCCTTCACCCACTTTGGCAGCCTCGAGGAACCCTGGGGACACACAGTCCCAGTCAGCACTCTGTGACCCTCGGGGGGGTCCCCAAAGCCAGGGTCGGGGAGGGGGATGTCACACCTTTGCACATCCCATCGGCCCCGGTTACGCTCTAAGAGTGGAGATCTGGGGGTCAGGGGGCGGGATGCTGTACCCTCCCTGCTTAGCAGGTTCTAT